CTCCAATCAACATTCAAGACTTAAAAAAAAAAATTACACACGCGTGTAACCTCTTGACTGAAAATCAAATACTGTCAACAACTAATCGTGAATGTTCACGTCGATTTGAAGCATGCGTTTTAAATAATGGAGGGACTTTCGAACAATTTATCGAGTAGCTTATGTTAGTGATTTTTGTAAATTGAATTGTAAATAAAAAATGTGTAGTAGAGTTTAAAATAATAAAATTAAAATTAAAAAATAAATGTTAACAAAATAATTTTTTTAAATGTTTTTTTTTTTTAAATTTTAAATGGCTCTCATTCGGTCAATATTGGATTGAGAGTAGTAGTAGTTGTTAGATCAAAATTACTTGAAAAAAATCCATTAATCAGAAAATGATATTCAAAATAGGGGTTGTCATTTAAAAAAAGTGAAGTTGTGTTGCGCATGCGTAAAATACGTGAGTAAAAAAAATTGTAAGTCATCAAAATTAAAGATCCAATAATCTAATTTAATGTCCCGAAAACAGAATTGAAAAATATGTACAGGGTAATGAGTGGTAAAGTGTACCCTGTTTCCGCGGACACGCGGTATATTTATTTGTTCAATCGTTTCCGCCGATCGACTTATGATTGTGCGCCCCATATACTAACCCTAGTACGTAAGTTATTTTATTGCAGAAACAAGCAAATAAATTGTTCTGTACATTATCATATATATAAAATATTGTGTTGTTATTGGTCACCTAATTCTCATCATTTTAATTACTTAACTTAGTCAGATGTGAACCACCCCTAAAATTATATACAGTCCACTCTCTACCTCCTTACAGGGTCATCGAAGCATATTTTGCTGTAACGGTAAAATAATCGCACACGACGGGTTACGTGTAGGTCCGCCGTCCGTGCGCACACACACATACACACGCGTCAACTCGTCCTCCGGCTTCTTGTGCAGTCCGATCGCATAAAGGTATTGGCCTTGGAGTTGATCTATACTTGAATAGGTACCTATATTTTTTATACAAAATTATAATATAGGTTCTGTATAAAGGCAACTAATTATAACTAATGCCTTACAGTATAATCTAGGATTGTTCTTATAAGTTTTGTTTTTACTTTTGTGGTTAAATGTCATGTTTCTTTTATACATATATTAAGGTAGGTACAATATTTCATTCAACATATTTGTGTGTGTGTGTGAGAGCAGTAAACACAATATTTTGCGTTTATAATAATTGTGAATACCTACTCCAGTATAAAATGTGTAACTAGAGTGCACGTTGCGAAGAATGTATTATAATATTATACCTACAATTTAATATTTGATTCCTACTTATAGGCTACCTAATAGATACATCTTCAATACCTAGCAGTGGTGGATTACCCACTAGGCTCGTGATGCACGATTCTAGGGCGGCAATTTTTAAGGGGTGGCAAATTTTTTATGTTTTATTTTTTTTTACTCTCAAACAAAAATGAAAAATATATATTAATGACATTCAAAAACTCATTATTTTTGGTATCAGAAAATTCAAAATTGAATAATTTAAATCTCTGGAGGGAGCCTATTCTTGAAACGTCAATTTGCATGAACGACTGTGGCAATCCGAAAACATTACGTAATGACAAACCGCCCAATGAGAAATTATTGGTTACTTGTTTTAGTTATAACTTGCTTTATTATTACGCATGAGAAATACGTGGCGTCGCGGCTACTGAATAAGAATAAACCAAAATCGTCGAGTTTTTCTCACTAATAAGGCGACTGAGAATATTAAATATCGATTTAATATAAACTGATTGACGATAAGTCGATAATATTGTTGGTGAGTTCTCGAGTATTATAAATCAATTTATCGGTGAAAATGTTTGAATGTTCGACCGTTCAACGAAAAGATATGATTATTTCCAACCCATATTATACAATATACTTATGAGTATATACTAATTGACACAGTGACGGTCGTAATCCTAATGACATTATTTGAGTTTATTATTATGACTATAAATTGAGTATGTGTTTAAACACAGAAGTACCATCATATTATTTTTCAATTTATTTTGCTGTGAACGTCTGAATACATTGGTTGCCCTCATCTGTTGTAGTTTTGTATACCTACATTAGGGTGGTCCTTAGTTATAGAAGACGAAAAAAAAATTTGAATATTTATTTTGCTGGACCCCCCTATTTTTTTTATTATCATACAAGAATGAGTTGGGTAAAATTTGGATAAAATAACTTACCCCCATCCCGTGTCACAAAGGGTAGAACAATTGCTGAACCAAATAATTTTACATTATTTGAGTTTTTTTTGTAAAATATAAAACTTACCAAAAAATTGTACTTAACCTTTTTTGTAGAAAAAAGTATTTTCTATAAATAAGTTGTTTACAACATTTATTGTAAATCTATTACTTTCCAGAAAAAGTAGATAATAAAATATCGTTAGATATTTTATATTTTGATAATACAATTACAATGTAATACAATGATAATCGATTCGTTGATACTTATTATCGAAGTTTTAAAATATCATTAAGGCTATTAGGTTATACTTATTTTATATTTTGTTTTTATAATGTTTACCAATGTGTATTATTAACTCATTTGGCCGGGATTTGTTATTGATTATTACGATTTAATCAAAAAATATTTACTTATACATTTCTATTAGTTAATCAGTGAACATCTTACATTTCACACTAACTACAACATTGTGTTTTCATTTATATTCAGTTTTTAATTTTCTCTTGTGTTTATAACAATTTAAAAGTTGATTTATTAGTTAAAAATGCCACGACAAATGATTTATTTGATCGGTTCAATGAATAATCAAATTCTCGGTAGCAAACTGCCAACACTAAGAGATTGTATGAAAGTTTTATTTTTTAATATGCGAATAGTGAAAATTAATTTATCAGAAGTGCCTATTTAGTGATCGATGAATGTACTATATTTTGGAAAAAAGCCCGAATTCCAACTAAAGATCGAGCAGATTGTATGAAAAAATTAAAAAAATCATATGAAGTTTGGAGAATTCTTGAAAAACGTAAAAAACGAGAAAGTGAAACATTCAAGTTCCAAGTAAAAAAGTTTGAACAATCTTTAGACAATTTATTTGATATTGCACACGCAAATGCATTTGATATTATGAAAATCGACATCGACAAAGAATTTTTACGTTCTCAAAGTAAGCCAGGTCGTCCAGGTTGTTTGCTTGGAGTTGACATGAAGTTATCACAAAAAGAAAAAAGAAAAACAATTAGGATAAATCAAGAGGAAACAAAACGAAAAAAATATGAAACTGAACTTTCAAACATAGAAATAGGTAATTATCTAATTTTAAATTATGAAAAACAAATTATAATGTTACGTTTTTATATGGTTGCACTACAAGTTTCTATTATTATATTATAGTTGAAACTCCTGAATTTACTACTTCAGAAGAAGAGGAGGATGGAGGTAGTATGGTCTTAGAGGAAGACCATAGACCATGTATATCTGGAATTCAAAGAGCAACCAAAGAAATTATGACACCAAGGCTTTCTGCCGCTTTAGACAAATGTAAGGTCAGTGATAGAGACGCTGTACATTTACTAACAGCATGTTACATAGAATGCTGAAAATGATCGTTCACCACTCGCATTGGTACAAGGCATACAAGCAAAGATTCTTAAAATTATAAGAACATTAGGAAAGGTAGCTTTTAATGGAGAATTAGATGATTTTTTTAACAGTCCGTTCATAGATAAATCATTATTGTGAAATGATTCAGTAATTTTTTTGAATTGAATTACTTCTTCAACAAATGATGTATTCAAATCTTCAGTATATATACTTACAATTTTCAATGCACTTTGACGAACACTTAAAGTATCCGAACGATTCAAGTCGAACAAAAAACCAAAGTTTTTATTAATAACTAGATAGGCCGCCTTTCGTTCATTTAAATTTGAACATAATGTATCAATTATCACATAAAAAATATCTTTCTTTATTTTATTTTTTCCAATGTGAACAGTACTATTAGAATTAGAGTCATCGTAAAATGCTGTTCTTTTTTTTTTTCTTGTTTCTTCCCAAGAAAATGCAGACTTTCCGCTAAGTTCTTGAGAATCTTTTAAAAAGTTATCGAACATCTCTCGAAGATCTAATATGTATTTTTCCAATGATTCATACAATTGAACAACAATAGATAAATCAATATTGGTAGACTGCAATGTTTTGCTAGTAGAATCAAATCTATTCAATATTGGTGTCCACATTTATAACATAAAAACAAATTCTAGTTTTTCTAATTTTTTTTTAATAGACGTAGCCTCATGTCTTGTTGATGGTTGTTGCGTGTTATCTTCTAACAAAACTTGAAGAACTTGTAATACATTTTTGTAACCAAACGAAAGAGCTTTACAAACTTCATAACGTGATGACCATCTTGTTGTACATAAATTCTTAAGGACAGATTTGGTCGATTGTTCATACAGATTCCATCTATATGTGAACGAAGAAAAAAAAGTGTAAACCATTTGACAATCATAAAAAAACCGAATTCCTTCTTTGGTAATCTCAGCTGCATTTGACCCAATAAGATTTAGTTAGTGTGCGGCACACGGTACAAAATTAGCATTTTTAGAATATTTTTTAATACGTGCTTGTAAGCCATTATATATTCCAGACATATTTGATGCGTTGTCGTACGCTTGTCCCCTGCAATTTTTTATGTCTATGTCCAATTCCTTAAATTTATCAATTAACGCTTCCTCCATTTGCTCTTCCTTATGTCCTACAGAGGATAAAAATGTTAAAAATCTTTCTTCAGAATTTCCATTTGGTTTTATGTACCGAATCACAACAGTTAATTGATCTTGTTTACTGATATCTGGAGTAGAATCTACTATGATTGAAAAGTACTTAGCTTCAATAATTTCAGCAACAATTTTTCTTAGAACCAAATTGTTCATTAAACTTAAAAACTCATCACATATTATCGAGGATAAATACAAAACATTGCCTTTCCCTTGGTTACCGTATTATTTAGAAATATGTCCCGACAAAAAAGGATCAAATTTAGCTATAAGTTCTAAACATCCCATATAATTGCCATTATGTACTGAGCCAAATTCATTATTTTTACCACGGAATGGTAGTCCTCTTTCAGCCAAGAAAGTAATTGTTGCAATAACTCGATGGAGAACATTAGTCCAATAATCCGATTTTGATTTCATTTCTTCGTGTAGCATTTTATCAATTGAAGTAGCAGTTTTTTGTGTTCTTGAAAACCAAATTCTAATTGATTCACCGTGTTGTTGGCCTTCTTCATGACATTTTACTTTTTCTTCACATTTACCCCAGTTTTTTAATCCAAATTTTAAATTTCCAAGATTACTTTTTTTGTTAGAAAAAAGAAGGCACTGGAAACAAAATAATGCATTAGCTGATAAAGAGTATAAGAGCCACTCTCTATTGGTAATTTGCCCATTATGCAATGTTCTTATAAAGATACTACTAGGCAGTTTCCGGAAATATTTTCCACACATTCGTCCAGTTTTATTAAAATTTATTTTTTTAACATCTTGAATTGGTTGATTCAAAATAAAATAGTCTATTAAACTTGAATTAATTTTCCATTTGGCTGGGTCCAAGTCAGGCACAGCAGCAGATTCTTCCTGAAATCACATTGTAAGAGAATTTAATAAAAATAATTTATGTAAAAATTTTCATCCACTACATTTCTTAGAATATTAAAAAACTGAGGTTCCAGTTAAGACATTATTTTTTTAAGCAAAAAAAAATTATCATTAAATATACTTAAAAGTAAACATTAAACATGGAACTATAGAAGTTTTGACTATTTAGTATTTACTTACCAAATTATTATCTGTATTTGTGCTAACAGTAGGTTCACAACCAGGCAGCAACAAATTATTTTCATTCTCCACGTTTTCCAAGTCAGTGGAAGGAAGATTAAACGTTTGAGTTTCCTGTTCATCATTTTTTATTTAATTTCAAAATATTAAAAATAATTTTAAATACTATTGGAATACAGAATACTTAGTTTAATATTATCAAAGTACTAATATGAATATATGATTAATAATAAAATATGTATTTAAAATATATTTATCATAATGTAAGTAACTCTAAAATAAGTAGTCTGTTATAAGGTTGGTTTTGGATGTGTATTAGAATGAACCTGTACACCAGTGGCGTAGCCAGAATTTTTTTTCACTGCTGTACACATATTTCCTAATTCTTTACCATGTTTATGTTATAGTATAAAGGTACACATGTTTTTTTTATATGCAACATTGAATAAAATTATAATTAAAATTCCTTTAAAAAAACAAAAATAGTTTTTTTTTTTTTTTTTTATTTTAGATACAGATATGCAGTTGGGATTAGCCTAATCTAATAAATAACATTTAACATTTAAATTCACTTTTTCGCTCGTCGTACACCGTGGCGTTACGTGCTCTCACTCTTGTTCCACAGTGTTTTTTTTTTTCTGTCATCCGAAAAATGTCCGATAATCTTGGAATTAACACCAATCGTTTCATGCTGTCACGCTGATGCCAAATCTGCTGTCCTTCGGAAGTCACAGAGTGTTTTTTACCCATCAGCGGTGAAAATTTGGTAATTTTAATTAATTCAATCATTTACCGCTCTGTTATCTAATTATAGCAGGTAATACTTATCTTCGAACTCCCCGGCCTAGCCGGCGGTCGTTCTTATCCTATCTCATTAATAATGACCCGCACTAATAGACCGTCATCGAGCAGTTCTCACACTACCATTAAACATACGAACACAATAAAACCAAATCTGTCTAATAATAATTCGAATCGTACACATTACGTTTCAACTTTATCGGATACTTCAAATGATGTCTTTACGGACGATATTCCTAATGACCCAGATTTTAAATTAGTCACATATAATTCAAAACGTAATCTTTCTTCTACCAGCCCAACCGGAACACCCGACAATAAGAAATCAAAACCCGTCTTTGTCAGTTCAAATAGATTTAACCACCTCCAAGTACCGGACAATGATAATGATAATGTAAACAATATTGAAACGAATAATGTCGATCAACCAAACCACATCCCATTACCTCCACCAATATTTGTACGAAACGTTTCTGATTTCATTGAATTAAGAAATCAATTAATAAAGCTGATCGGCCCACAGTCCTTCAGCTTTAAGTCATCAGTCAATAACCTTAAAATTAACACTACCAACCCTGACTCGTACAGAGAAGTCATAAAATACCTGAAAATAGGCAATGCCGAATATCACACTTATCAAGCCCGTGAAGATAAAGCTTTTCGTATTGTCATACGCAACTTGCATCCGTCTTCTTCAACTTCCGAAGTAGGTGCTGCCATTGAAGATATCGGATATTCTGTCCGCCAAGTTTCAAATGTTATCCACAAATCTTCAAAACGTCCCCTCCCAATATTTTTTGTTGATCTTGAACCCGCTCAAATCAATAATGAGATTTTCAAATTGACCTCGCTGCTTCATACCAAAATAAAGGTAGAAGAGCCACATAAAAGACGTGAAATCGTTCAGTGTTCCAAGTGCCAAGAATATGGCCACTCTAAAGGATACTGCGCTCATCCTCCCAGATGTGTTCGTTGTGCCGATTTCCATCCCACTACACAGTGTACACAATCAAAAGATACTCCTCCAACCTGCGCCTTATGTAGAGGAAACCATACCGCAAACTACCGAGGATGTTCAGTCCATAAAAGCTTACAGCGTTCAAACTTCAAATCAAATTCAAATTTAAAAAATCATGTAAATAATAACACTATTGTAAATAAGCAGGAAACGCTATCCAGTGTAACGACCCATCCCCCCCCTCCTAACATGAATGACAACAAAATTTTTCCTAACCTTACCCAAAATCATCAAAGCCATAGCTCTTCAAGTAAAACTGATTCCCAATCTAATTCCACCGATAGTATCTCAAATAATCAACTTTCATCTTTTTTAACTGAGTTCAAACAATTGATTAATCCACTAATTCAATTACTCACCACTGTAATAAATAAACTTATTTCACATAATGACAAATAATCTCACCAACAATAAAACTCTTAAAATCATTCTTTGGAATGCCAACGGACTCAAACAGAATGAGTCCGAACTACTTAACTTTCTTATAGTAAATCAAATCGACATAGCTCTAATCACCGAAACTCACTATTCAACTAATTCCAGTCATTTTTTCCCCGGCTTTAATATTTACAAAACCAACCATCCAGATGGTACGTCTCACGCGGGTTCCGCAATTCTAATATCTTCCATAATCCAACATCATCCTCTGCCGAGTTTTCAAATCCCCTCTATTCAAGCAACCAGCATTTCTATTTCAATAAATCATACTCCTATTACTGTTTCTGCAGTGTACTGTCCTCCTTCACCTCAAATATCTCAACTCCACTTAGATCAGTTTTTTTACTCCTTAGGGCGCAACTTCATCGCCGGTGGTGATTTTAATGCCAAGCACCCCCTATGGGGCAGCCGTGTCGAAAATCGTAGAGGATACCTATTTTATAATTCCATTCAAATGAACGGCTTTTCAACTATTTCACCCCCTGGTCCTACTTACTGGCCTACTCATTCGAACCGTCAACCTGATCTACTGGACTTTTTTATATCGTCAATACCCAACCATATAAATCATACTATTCAAAACATATGTGACCTATCTTCTGATCATTCACCCGTTCTACTAAAAATTATGGAGCTCCCAACTCTAACTCCTTCGCGTCCCTCCCTTTCCAAAGGTCCAGTTAACTGGAAGCAATTTTCATCAAAATTAGAAAATTCTACGAACCTAAAAATTTCCCTTAAAACATGCAATGAAATTGAATCCGCAGCTCATCAATTAGTTAAATCAATTCAATCAGCTGTCTACGAGTGCTCTTATCCTTCCAATCAGAAATGTCACTCAAATCTCAAATCTTTTATCCTGCCTCCGAATATAAATATTTTAATTGCTGAAAAACGCAGGGCTCGCTCCCGTTGGCAAAGATCAAGACTACCTTCAGACAAGTCAGCTTTCAATAATCTATCTAACACCATTAAAAAACTAATCCAAAAATACAAAAATGACCTTTTTGTCACAAAATTTAAATCTTTAAACACACAAGACGGTACATTGTGGAAAACAACTAAAAACATGCTAAAATTAAAAGAATTCTCTTGTCCTATTAAAAAAGCAGATGGATCGCTCGCTCTTTCAGACTTAGATAAGGCCAAACTTTTTGGGGAACACCTCTCGAATATTTTCAAACCTCACCTTGATATTACTCCAAGTACCACACAACTAGCCAAAATAAATGATTTTCTTGATGCTCCACTACCAATGTCTCTCCCTATTAAACATGTCTCCCCATATGAAGTTGCTAACTTGATCCAAAGATTGAAGCCCAACAAATCCCCAGGTCATGACTTAATAACAAATAAGATTTTAAAATATCTCCCCAAAAAAACAATCCTTTTGCTAACTTTCTTATTTAATTCCATGTTAAGATTGTCTTATTTCCCTACCATCTGGAAATTATCAATTGTTATCCTCATACTTAAACCAGGAAAACCAACCAATATTGCAACCTCATATAGACCCATTAGTCTACTCCCAGTGATTGGTAAGCTATTCGAGAAGATTATTTTAAAAAGACTTAGACCAATAATTGAATCACATAAAATTATTCCCGACGCTCAGTTTGGTTTTCTAGCACACCACTCCACTATACAACAGGTTCACAGACTAGTCGACAAAATTTCTTCCTCCTTCGAAAATAAAAACTATTGCCCGGCAGTCTTCCTAGATGTTGCTCAAGCCTTTGACAGGGTTTGGCACAATGGCTTACTATATAAACTGAAACTATTCCTCCCTGCTCCACTTTACTTACTAATTCGCTCTTACCTTGAAAATAGAACCTTTAAAGTTCGTCAAGGCAATTCTTTTTCTTCTGTCTTTCCAATCCTAGCAGGTGTTCCTCAAGGAAGCGATCTCTCTCCTGATCTCTACAATATTTTCTCTTCTGACATACCTCAAACCAATGACACCATCATAGCTACCTATGCTGATGACACAGCGATCCTATCATCCAATAAGAATCCAACCGTAGCATTCAACGCCCTTCAAAACCACCTAGATCTTATAGATAAATGGTCCTCTAATTGGAAAATTAAAATTAATGCCGCCAAATCTGTTCATGTTCCTTTCACTCTAAATAAAAAAAATCTACCCACTCCCACCCTCCATGAAATTCCTATTCCCTCCTCATCTCAAGTAAAATACCTTGGTATTATTTTAGACAAACGTTTAACCTGGGGCCCTCACCTTAAAAACAAAAGAAAGTCACTCAATTCTAGACTACACCTATTACGTCCCTTACTAAAATCTAAACTTCCACTTCATAATAAATTAATTTTATATAAA